GGGGGGGGGGGGGCACCTGCAGTCTGGGCGAGGGTAGGAATTACTCACCTGGAAGAAGGAGATGGGGCCGGCGTGGAAGCTGATCATAATCCCGAAGATGAACGCCAGCTGGGACAGTATCAGGTGCAGGGCCGCGGCCGTCAGGTAGGCGCTGATCGTGGCCTCCGGGAGGTAAGTTGCCACAAAGCCAAAACCTAGCACGCCCATCGAGAGCTGCAGGGGCGCAGGTGGGAAAGAAAAACAGAGGCCGAAGGTCATCGAACCCGCCAGGGCGCCGGGTAAGTTATCTCCAGGGGGCTTCCTGCGGGGAAGCTAGGTTAGGCCCCTTTGGCAGCTCTTGTTGCTCTTTCCCTAATCGACTGAAATTCATGACGTGCAATAGGTCCCAGGTGTTCGTTCTGAGCCGAGCCTCCCTACGGGCTCCACACCCGCTTCTTTCTTCGCGAGCACTTAAGCCCTGGAATCTACTGACCTTGCTGATTAAGGTTAACGGTCACAGTGATCAGAATGAGCCTTTGCCTCTGTTTAATGAGCCCTTTCATTAGAAGTTCCGAGAACCCTTTCCAGGAGATATTAACATTCCTGTGAGGGGCGCAGCTTTTTACAAACAAAAAGACAATTTAAAAAACCCGAGTTCCGCCCAGCCGGTGTGGCTCAGCACGTGAGCATCGACCTAGGATCCAGGAGATCGGGGTTCGATTCCCGGTCAGGGCACAGGCCCGGGTTGTGGGCTCGATCCCCAGCAGGGGGCGTGCAGGAGGCAGCCGGTCAATGACTCTCTCATCACTGATGTTTCTATCTCTCTCTCTCCCCCTCTCCTTTCCTCTCTCTGAAATCAATAAAATTATATCAAAAACAAAAACAAAAAACCTGAGTTCCAGCTCACACTTTTTGGCCTTTGACTTTTATCTTTACTAAAAATGATTAAACTGAATTTATGTCCTCAGGATTATATATATACTATATATATGTATAAAATATAGTATTTTATATGCATATATAATATATAAATATGTATTTTAAATGTTACATAATATATAATAAAATAAATTTTATATGTTTCTAAATACACAAAGGATCTAAAGTATACATGTCAAACTATTAACAGAGGTTACCTTTGCGGAATGGGATTAAAAGTTGGTGGCAATACTGTATAATTTATACTTTATCATTTGAGGTTTTTGAAATATACATGTCCATCTTTTATAATAAAAAACGCAATTGGGAAATTGATGGATAAAGGGTAGACCCCAGCCCCCTTAAGAGGGTAGGTTAAGAAAACTGGCACAGCCCAGTGAAGAAGAAGGGGAAAGGAAAGCGAAAGTCTTAAAGCCCACTATTGTCACCGGTTCATCTTCCACTGCATTAGAAGCTTTCAGAAAACAAACTTGGAAGAGTAAATCTTTCAGCTTTAAAAGCTTTTTGTTTCAAAGCTTCCCATCAGCTGGGTGCTGTGTCCCCCCTTAATCTCCTGTCATTACAACTCAGTCCCCTCCTCTACTCTAGTCAGGCCGATCTGCTCCCTGTGTTTTGCGTGATTGGCTGATTTCTACTTCTGTGCTTATCCATGAGCCCCTCTTTTTTTGCCATCTCTGCCAATCTATGTCAAGAGCTTAATAAAACTCCCCTTCTTTAGGAGATTTGATGAAAACAGCAAGATTCCTGGGGATGGAGAACTTGGCTTCAATCCGGGCTCTGCCACTCATTGGCTGTGTGAGTTTGGACAAGTTAACCAAACTCTCTGAGCCTCCGTTTCCGAATTTATAAATTGTGAATAATACTCAACACACGGTGTTTTGTATGGGTCACATTATACAACACATGTAAAAACACTTAGCTCAAACCTGAAAACAGTGACAGATGCAAGTACATTTCACTCATTTTTCATGCCATCCTTTCCTTCCACCTCATAAATGGCAAGTATCTACAGTTAGCCATAGAACTCTTTCTTGCCCAGCTGTTAAACGTGGCATCAGAATCTGTGTTAACACAGGTTTCTAGGCAGCCACTGTCAGTCAGAGTTGCCCTGTGACATAAAACCTATTTGTGTTTCTTACAGAAAACAAGTACTAAATGTTAAGTGAATGAATGAAAGTCTCAATAAATGGTCCTTTCCTTTCCAGAAAACTCCAACCCAACTAAAGATTATTCCTTTATTTCATATTCTTTTGCCATTAAACACTTCACTGTTATTAATATTAGTTTTCACTTTAAGATTATCTAGAGCATAGATTCTGGAGGTAGATCACCCTGAGCCTGAATCCCAGTTTGGGATCTTACTAGCTATGTGACCTTGGGCAGTTCACTTAACCTCATTATACTTTTGTTTTCCTAAAATAAGGGCCATAGTAATATCCATCCTCAAAAGGGAGTGTTGTGAGGATCAAAAGAGATAATACATATAAAATGCTTTGAACAGTGACTAGCACATAGCAATAACTGTTAGATATTATCATCTAGTTCAGAGTTCTTTAAATTTATACTTTCTATTTTCAGTAATTATAGATTGATAGGCAGTTGTCAAAAACAAAACAGAGATCTGGTGTATTCTTTACCTGTTTTCCCCCAAAAGTAACATCTTGAAAAACCACAATTAGGGTACTGATGTCAATATGGCCAAGATACAAAATAATTCCATCACCACAAGGATCCCTCTGTTGATATTTTATAGCCAACCCCCAACTAGCCTCTTACCTCTCATCCCTACTCCCAACTTCCATCTTCCTACTTCCACCCTCATCCTCAACTTCTGTTCTCCATTTCCATAATTTTGTCACTTAAGGAATTTTACATAAGAATCATGTAAACTTTCCTATTTTCAATTTCATTCATTTTTATTCTTCATGATTTCCTTCCTTCTGTTTATTTTGGATCTAATTTGCTTTTGTTTTTCTAGGTTTTTGAGGTGGGAGCTTATGCTATTAATTTGAGACACTTTCTTTCTTCTTTATGCATTTTAGTGCTATAAATTTACCTCTCAGCATTGCTTTAGCTGTGTCCTGCAAATTTTTGTATGTTTTCTTTTCATTTACCCTAAGGTATTTTTAAAAATTTCCCCTTGAGACTTATTCTTTGACCTGTGGATTATTTAAAAGTGTGTTGTTTAGTATCCAAGTATTTGGAGACTTTCCTGTTAACGTGCTATTTTTGAGTTCTAGTTTGATACCACTGTGGTCAGAGAACACACTGTTTGATATAAATTCATTTAAATTTATTGAGGTTAGTTTTATGGCTATGATTGAGGTTAGTTTAGGATTTAACTTATCTTGGTATATGTTTCATGAGTCACTAAAAAGAATGTGTGTTCTGCTGTTATTAGATAGACTGCTTTGTAAATATCTCTTAAATCCTGTTAGTCAATGGTGTTATTGAGTTTTATTATTTCCTTGCTGATTTTTTTTTTTTATCAATTATTGAGAGAGGAATGTTGAAGTCGCCAACTGTAACTCTGTATTTGTCTATTTCTCCTTTCAGTTCTATTAGTTTTGCTTCACGTATTTTATAGCTCTGTTGTTTGGTTCATATGTACTTAGAATTACTATCTCTTCTTGGTAGAGTGATCCTTTTATCATTATACAATGTCCCTTTCTACCTCTGGTAATTTTCTTAGCTTCGAAGTCTATTTTATCTGATATTAGCGTAGGCAATTCTGCTTTCCTTTGATTCATATTTGCATGCTATATATTTCCATTCTTTTACTTGCAACTTGTCTATATCATTATATTTGATGTTTCTTGCAGACAGCATATTTTAAAATATGTCAATCTCTATCTTTAGTGTAAATACTGCTATGTTAGGGTTTATGTCTGCTATTTTTCTATTTGTTCTGTTTTCATTTCTCTTTCTCTTTTTTCCCTGACTTCTATGGATTACTTGAACATTTCTAGAATTCCATTCTTATTTATCTACATTGTTTTTTAGTGTATCTCTTTGTATAGCTTCTTTAGTGCTTGTCCTAGGTATTACATTATATATACATGACTTATTACAGTCTGCTGGTGTCAACATTTTACCAGTTCAAGCAAAGTATAGAAACCTTGCCTTTGTTTGTTTATAAAATAATTGTTTTAAATATTTCTTCTATATACATTTTGAACTACATCTGATAGTGTTAAAATTTTGCTTCAACCATCAAACATAATTTAGAAAACCCAAGAGGACAAGAAAAATCTATCATATTTATCCATATTTTTACTCATTTCATTGTTCTTTCTTCCTGATGTTTCAAGATTCCTTCTTTTACCATTTCCTTTCTTTTTAGGGAACTTCCTTTAGCCATTTTTTTAAGGATAGGTTAACTTGTGACACATTTTCTTAGTTTTCTTTCATTTGAGAATGTTTTGACTTTCCTTTCATTCTTGAATGATATTTTCACTGGGTACATGATTTTGGATTGTAGTCCTTTTCTTTCAGTGAACAAAAAATATGGTGCCACTTCCTTCTGACCTCCATGGTTTCTTATAAGAAATCTGCTGTCATGTGAGTTGTTTTCCCCTGTAGGTAAAGTGTTTCTCTTACTACATTCAAGATTTTTTTCACTGTTTTTAGTTTTCAGAAGTTTGACTATGATTTGTCTTATTGTGGATTTCTATGGATTTATTTTCTCTTTTTTTTCTTTTTTTTTTTTTTTTACATATAGGTTTTTTGTTTTTTTTTTAAATATATCTTTATTGATTTCAGAGAGAGGAAAGGAGAGGGAGAGAGAGAGTTAGAAACATCAATGATGAGAGGGTCATTGATCGGCTGCCTAGCCTGCAACCCGGGCATGTGCCCTGACCGGGAATCGAACCCGGATCGCCTGGATCCTAGGTCGACACTCAACCGCAGAGCCACGCCCGACCGCGCTGGATTTATTTTCTTTGGGGTTTTTTTTTCAGCTTCTTGAATCTAAAGGATAATATATTTTGCCAAATTTTGGGAGTTTTCAGCTGTTATTATTTTTTAAATATGTCTTTATTGATTTCAGAGAGAAGAAGGGAGAGGGAGAGAGATAGAAACATCAATGATGAGAGAGAGTGATGGATTGGCTGCCTCCTGTACACCCGCTGCTAGGGATTGAGCCTGTAACCCAGGCATGTGCCCTGACCAGGAAATGAACTGTCATCTCCTGGGTCCTAGGTTGATGCTCAACCACTGAGCCATGCTGGCCAGGCTCAGCTGTTATTTCTTAAAGTAATTCTGCCCCATCTTTTTTCTCCTCTCATTCTGGACTTTTACGACACAAATGCTAGATCTTTTGTTATAATCCCACTATTCCTGAAGCTCTGTTAAATTTTTTCAGTCTATTTTCTCTCTGTTGTTCAGATTGGGTAATTTCTATCATTCTTTCTTCAAGTTCATAGATTCTTTTCTCTGTCTCCTCCATTCTGCTGTTGAGACTATCCTTTAAATTTTATTTATTGTATTTTTCAGCCCTAAAATTTCCATTTTGGTTCTTCTTTATATTGTCTATTTATTTGCTGAGGATAGAGTATTTTTTTCACTTTTATCAAGCATGTTTATAGTTGCTTGCTGAACCATCTTTAGTAAGGCTACTTCAAAATCTTTCCAGACAATTCGAATTATCTCTGTCATCTCAGTGTCAGAATCTTTTTATTTTTAATTCAAGTTGAGATTTGTCCTCATTCTTGGTATGACAAGTGATTTTCAATTCAATCATACATTTTTTGGGTACTATGTTATAAAACTCTGGATCATATTTAAACCTTCTGTTTTAGCTAGCTTATTTTGACAAAGTGCTGGCAGGGAAAGAAGGAGGTGCCATCTTGTTATTGCCTGGTAGAAGTAAAAGTTCAGGTTCTCTTCTCAGCCTCTACTGACACCTGTGGCACTAGGGACTCTCCAAAATTGCTGGACAGGAGTGGCAGTTCTGGATCCCCACTAGGCCTCCACTGACACTATCCTGGCTGGGATAGACTGGAACGCCTTTACTTCTCCCCACATGGACATCACAGCAGGGGAAGGGGGGTTGTCTTCATGGTGAGAGACCTGACTTCACTAGGCCTTCTCTGGCATCATCCCAGCATGGAGTAGGAAGGTTGTCTCATTACTGCCCAGTGGGGATGAAAGTTCTGAGTCTCTATCTGGCCTTCTCTGACAACACCCCTGTTGGGAGTGAGTGGGCACCTCATTACAGGTAAGTGAGGGTAGAAGTCTAGGCTCCCCACTTGGCCTTTGCTGGCATGAATGGCAGTGATATCATAATTCTGTTTATTCTTGGTGTTTGTCTGGAGTAGACCAGTTATCGTATAAATGTTTTCAGTCTTGCTAACCTTTCCTGGTCTGTGGCAGACTTTTGTTGGGGCTTTTTTTTTTGTCTGCACCTGTTGGTACTTTGGGTTTCTGGCCTCTTCAGCACCAAGATTAAGATCTATGAGGCAAAAAGAAAACCCAGGGAACTCACCACTGTGTTGTTGCTTGTGTCCTGAGGTTCTGAGCCTGTTTCCCTTCTTCTCGTCACCTTTCAGAGTCTTCTTACATTTGTTTTATATATAATGTTCCAAGGTTTTTAGTTGTACTTAGCTGGAGGAATAGGGAAAAGTACATCTATTCCATTTTCCTGAAAATGGAATCTCTCCTCCTTATTACATGAAAAAACTGAGGCTCAGAGGAGGGGACAAAACATGCCCAAAGCCCCTTAGATAATAGGTTATTAACTTACTGCCTGTTACTTTGTCTTCGCCTACAACATTGAATTTTTTTTTTTTTTAACTACAGGAATTATATCTTATTTTAAAATGTTGGTCTCTGTTAAAGTACCAAATTTATTTCTCTGTATCCAGTAATTATAATTTATTGATGCTTACTAAGTGACAGGCTCTGGGATGAGTGTTATACATGCATTTTCTCACTTAATCCTCACAAAAACCCCACGAAACAAATATTATTCCCATTTTATGCATGAGAAAACTAAGATCCACAAAGGTAAGAAAATTTATGTTCATACAGCTGGCAAATGTCAGGGCTGGGGTCAGCATACCATAATAGCTTTCCTTTGCAGCTATTCTTACCTAATGAAAGATGGTTCCAGGGTAGATTAGTGAAAATTAGCTAGAGAGTGGGTTAGTTGAGAAGAAAGAGAAACACATCTGGAATATGTGATTTTAGTTGAGTGGATTAAGCTTTTAAATGGTAGACTCTCAGAGAAAAATGAAAGACATTGACAAAAATAAATTTTGATATTTTAAAAAGTCATTGGTATTATTGTGCTTTAAGCTGTGGTCCTGTCATTGCAGAAAAAGGATTCTAGGTTTGACTCTAATGCTTAGTAATCCAAAATATAGTATTTGGGCCTATCAGTGCTCTTCTTGTCGAAAGAATATAAAGGAATTTTTGAAAACACAAAATCACGAATAAAACTCTAGCCCATTGTCCCTAGGACCCTTCTTTAGTTTTAGAGAAGGGACTGGTGACAATGTTTAGCATCTCATCCCAAATCAATGCTGGATGGATGGCTTTTTTCTCTCCTGGGGACAGTAACTTCAGGCATTCAGAACTGCTCGGAGGCCCAGCCGGTGTGGCTCAGTGGTCGAGCACCAATCTATGACCCAGGAGATTGCGGTTCAGTCAAGTCCAGGTGCGGGCTCGATCCACAGTCGGGGGCGTGCAGGAGGCAGCCAATCAATGACGACTCCCTCATCAATGATGTTTCTCTCTCTCTCTCCCTCTCCCTGCCTCTCGCTGAAATCAATAAAAATATATTTAAAAAAAAGAACTGTCCAGAATATGACATAGAGCGGAGGCTGTCCTACAACACAGCCTCTAATGAAACGAGCCTGTCCCGAACCCCTGGTGGTAGAATTGGTTCCCCTTACGCCAAGCAGCCTGGGGAAGCACCAAGGTCTGCATGTGGCCTGTGCCCTGGCCGACTTCGTGGAGTTCGTGCTCTGAGACCTCAACTCCTAGTGAGGTTGTCTAATGAAAAAACATGTCCACGGGGCCTGGGGTGGGTCCATGTGCTAAATGTGCTCGTGATGGGATCAGCGTGCTTTCCTCTTTGGGGAGCAGAAAATCACTGTGAAAATATGGAAGGCACAAGCACAGAGTCGGAAAGCTAAATTAAAAAAAAACAGCTATTTTGGAGAGTAAAAACAAAACCCAGAAACATCAATGGTGGATGATTTCCGACAAGGGGGAAGGTTTGTCACAGTCTATCCACACATCCCACAAGTTTTCCAGAAACAAGTCACTGAGGCGTCTTAATGGGTAACAGGAGCAATGAAAGGAAGGGGTCTATTTGTACCCCTTTCCTTGGTTCTTTTTCAGAGGTTTGGACGCAGGGCCTACCTGAATAATCCCAGTCACAAATGTTGTGGATGCCACCACACTCAGGGATCTGTTATAGGCCGTAAAGAAGTAGGGGTTCGAAAAATCCTCTTTGATGAAAGTTCCCAGGATGAGGTGGCCGCTGTTGAATGGGTACAGCTTCAGGACATTAATCATCAGGGCGCTCAAAAGAAAGAAGGAACCTGCGAAAGAAGAAGTTTCAGCAGAAGGTGAGCTTTTAAATCCAGGTAAACTGAAGATACTGACACAATCAAGGCGTGATCTTACGGTGTTTTGTCCTTGATCTGAAGAACTTTTCTTATTTGAAAGTGGCCGCCGAGAGCAAGAAAGTGCAGGGAAAGAGCTCTGGCCCCACAAGCTGTGACCAAGTCACAGTTTGGTGGTCCAGGTATTCCCCTCTTTCATTAGGGGCATAGAGTGGGGTGCAAAGAAAAATGGACTGGGAATGTGCATGGGGTTCAGCCGCTGTGCCTGCTCGTAGAGGCGGTGAAAAGTAGATGGTGGTTAGAGTGTCAGAAAACAGAGCTAACCGGTAAGAAGAAAAGCAAAGCCTGACACTTACGAAGGATTTACCAGGTGCACAAGGACACTGCGCTAAACCTGGTCCAAACGTAATTTCATTTAGTCTTCATGTCAATATATTCACCAGGGGGGGCAAAGGTAGACTTTACTTTTAAATTACCGACAGCCCGGCCGGCGTGGCTCAGCGGTTGAGCGTCGGCCTAGGATCCAGGCGATCGGGGTTCGATTCCCAGTCAGGGCACATGCCTGGTTGTGGGCTTGATCAATGACCCTCTCATCATTGATGTTTCTATCTCTCTCTCTCTCCCTCTCCTTTCCTCTCTGAAATCAATAAAGATATATTTAAAAAAATAAATTACCCGACAGACATAAAACTCTAATAGGCCTATTATCAGTATTTGGAAATAATTGCGATGTGCCTCGGGAAAATGAGAATAAAATTGATCTCCAATGTTCAAATGTAAAAGCAACACAGTGTATTTCAGTGAAAAGATGTGATAGTGGCCTTTACAAGGCAGGGCAGCTAAAGAATGGGATGGTCCCGGACGGGACAAACATCTGGGGGAAGCGCGCAGCAGTCAGGATGGGAGCCCTGGCTGCACGGGGGAGCCCGGGAAGGCGCCTCGTGGGCCAAGGTGGCAACGGCCTTCCGAGACTGTGGGGCATTTTGTGGTTTGATTTCTGTGCAGGTTCGCCCAGGAAATGTGAAGGAAATGTGCTGATTATATGGCCTTTAACTAGTCTGGTTCCTGTAAGAGTCATTTCTAATTATAAAATAGTAGGTGGACTTTTGACTCTGAGAAAGAAAGTGCTCCTCCTATGGATTTGAGCGTTTGGTTACCATGACAATCGTAAATTAATAAGCTGACATGATGATTGTAAATCAGGCCCATGGAATTTGGTTATCGTAGGTCCAGCTGAAAGATGGATCCACTCTGAAAGTACTGGCAGAATTGTTTCTGGATCTTCCTCTTGAGGGCAGTCGGATCCCAGTGTGAGGTAATCTCACCAAGGAGAGTCCGCCTGTCCTTTAATTCCTTTGGGAAACAGCTCTCTGGTCTGTTTACCTGGTGGTGACATTAATGATGACACACTAGAAGTGTTCAATTTCTAAAATGTACACACGAATGCGATGGGTAGAATGTCCATCTTCTGTCTCCTTTCTTTCTACCTTAAACAGAGCTTTCACTTGGGGTCCCTTAGCAATAAGGAAAGGATCGAGGCTCCAGTACTGAACTCACCAATGGACATTTGATGACATGATCCAAAAATTACATAAACTATCGAAGAACAGAAAGCCGCATATGAGATATTGAGAGGAGGAATCAGTTGCCTTGCCAGCAAACTAAACGTCAGGACTGAAAAGCAAGATAGTTGAAGTAAGAAAAGGTAGCCTGGCTTTTAAAAGTCACCTTAAGTAAAAACCATAAAGGATATTTAAAATAAAAATGATCTATGTATACATCTGACTGAGGGCGGGTATTAGTATCCCTTGGCATACAGCCTTTAATTAGCATCTTTTATTATCTCCTTGGATTTCTAGCTCCTGTTTCTATTGCACCACTTGGTTTTACACCTGAATTCTAAACACAGGCTTAAACACCTTTCACTGGGAGGTCCTCATGCTAATCATGGAAAGCAAACATCACGGCAATCAGACCTCAACCCCCAGTCGCCTGGAGGCAGCCACTCTAGCCCCAGACTAGGGAGAAGGCCGGATAATTCTCCAGGACTGAGGACAGAGCTGGGGAGCAAGGCAAGAATCACACTTAACTGGCTCGACCCCAAGTTGGAATGTGCTGTCCCTCTTCCACATGCTAACCACTCTCTCTTCCTTTAGCTCCTTTCTCAGTACTTACTGTCTTTTGTAAGAAGCACCATGAGAATCAGGAAAGTTGGAGGTAAGTGGATTAACATGCATGGTGTCACCCTTTACTGTCTCAAGCCCATAGCTCCTGCCCTGAGGTCCTCACCTTAGACCATACCAGTGAGCCCACTGAGCCGATTTACTGTCTCGGACAAGCAAGGCTCTCTTTTTATTGGAAAAGTTCACACATATACAAAAATAGAGTATAACAGCCCAGCTGACGTGGCTCAGCATTTGAGTATCGACCCAGGATCCAGGAGATCAAGGTTTGATTCCCGGTCAGGGCACGTGCCCAGGGTTGTGGCTCGATCCCCAGGGGGGTGTGCAGGAGGCAGCCGATCAACGATTTTCTCTCATCATTGATGTTTCCCTCTCCCTCTCCCCCTCCCCCTCCCTCTTCCTCTCCCTCTCCCCCTCCCTT